TTTTGTGATTTAAGGTAAAAACAATTAATGTAATAACATGTATTAGTGACGAGAAATATTCGTAGTTCGCTGTTACTAGCGGCACCGAAACTGACTCGCCCGTGACTCACGCGCACAAGTCCCGCCCACGTCAACAGCGCCGGCCGACCACGCAATGCAAGCACGACCGCAGCCTCATAAATTGTAGACCCGGTATTCTTCTCAGTACCGTGTTTCCCCTCAGTCACTCTCAGCTGATGTGCACACGTGTCAGTATGAAGAAAAACCTGGACTGTTTTTCAGGAGATGGAGTTAAAGAAACATTGCAGCTGTTCTCATCATGACGGCAGGTGCATATGCACCGAAGTATTGGTCTCTCTGAATGAGTTGAGAGAGGAGAACGTTCTATGTGACGCGGTGTTGAGGTTGGAAGATGGCGGCGTTTTTCCTGTCCACAGAGTGATTCTGTCGACGTGTAGCGCATATTTCAGGTTTGTTTGATTACCGATGTAGTTGTTAACGCGTGAAATTAGGACATAAGAGGACTTCAGGACATAGCAGACGTCAATTAGAATGTGAAATTTGACATCATCTTTTGTTGCAGGAAACTGTATTTCTTACATGGCTATTTATATGTTGTGATTTGTTCATTGTGGTGAGATGTCAGGTTCTCACGGCAGTGAGTATGAATGTGGCTGGCTTATGGATTGTTGCGCCGTGAAGTCTGACAGCCTTCTTCCTACTCACCTAAAATCCTTCGATATATCGATCTATGTGTGCGTGCGTGCGTGCGCATACAACGTATGAAAAGGATTCACCGAAAATGGAAATACATTAATGACACAACAGAATTTAACAAAATTATTTGCACCGAAGCGTTGTCCTCTCTGAATGACTTGAGACAGATGGACCTATTGTGTGACGCGGTCTTGAGGTTGGAAGATGGCGGCGTTTTTCGTGTCCACAAAGTGATTCTCTCGATGCGTAGCGCATATTTCAGGAACCTCTTCACCACGACACTGCACGCCCACGAGCAGACTGACGTTCTCCTGCACGGAGTCAGCTCGGATATCATGGCTCAGATATTGGACTACGTTTACACAAGGAAGGTGGACATTAATTGTGGAAACGTGCGTCAGCTGCTCGTAGCGTCCGACTACTTGTGTGTGCTAGGCGTTCTTCAGCTCTGCTGTCAATTCCTCCAGAACACGATGAATCTTGGTAATTGCATCGGCATCATGCGTCTCGCAAGGTAATTGATGTTCATTAGGACGTTACTCTTCGTTACAAAATCAACTTTATTATTCCGAGACCAGTCACTTGCTGAGTCAGAGATGGGAATTTGGACTGGAAATGTGATAATGTGCTCCTTGGTTAGGGCTGTTGGTGGTTTATTATAATAAAACAGGGAAACAATTTTTCACTTTTTTCCGGTAACATGGACAATTTTCAGTTTTCTTTACTAATTTTGGGGCGCTGATTTCAAATATGACCTTTTAAAACACCCAACACGTAAGATTTTTACTTTTTCTCGTTTCCGTATACAGTACAAAGTTTAGCCTACTAGTAATGCCATTTCTATGGGTTTATTTACAAAGCTGCTGGTAGTTTTCTTCCGTTCTTTTGTTAATGCGCCTGATAAGTTTTGTTACGTGTGTGGACAGTTTATTATCAAGTCTCAGTGCCGTTCAATGACAAAAACATTCAAAACTGCATATTATTATTACTTTGGTTGTCATGTCGGTGATTCAGGACAAGAAGTGGGCCCCACACGTATGTTGTATCACATCTTATGATAACCTGATTGAATGGTTAAAAGGGAACAACCAGTGCATGCAGTTCATTGTTCCAATGATTTGGCGCGAACCTACAGGTCACCTGGAAGACTGTTATTTTTGTCTTACGAAAACTGGAGGCTTTTCCAAGAAGAAGAAAGGTAAGATAGAATATCCAAAAGTGCCATCAGCTCTTCGGCTGGTTCCACATGGTGAAAATTTACCAGTACCTAAGCTACCATCTGAATGGATGAACGTACCAGATACCGATGACGAGAACTCTGATGAGAGGGTAACTGTAGTCTCTGATCCTACATACAATCCTGAGATTCACAGTGAGCCACATCTTATTGAGCAAAATGAACTGAACGATCTAGTCCGAGATCTTGGTCTACCCAAAGAAAAAGCTTAGCTTCTAGCTTCACGATTACAGGAGTGGAATCTACTGGCTAAAGTACTGCTGTTTCCTCTGAATGAGGGACTGTAGAGCAACAGAGAGGCACTACGAAACGAAAGACTGGCCGGGAAGAAATGAATTCATTCCGGGAAAAAGTAATACCAAATTCAAGCCTTTGGTTGACCCACAAAATGTTCTCTTACTATCACTTCATATTAAACTAAGACTTATCAAAAGTTTTGTTAAAGGAATGAAAAAGGAAGGAGAAGGATTCAAATATCTGATGGGAATTATTCCGAATCTTAGTGATGCAAAATTGAAAGAAGGAATTTTTGTCGGGCCTCAGATCAGAAAACTGTTGGACGATGGAAATTTTGAAACCAGACTTTCTGCTAAAGAACTCGCAGCCTGGAAATCTTTTGTATCTGTGATGAAAGGTTTCCTTGGAAAGCGAAAGGAAGAAAACTACCAGCTTTTAGTGGAGAATCTTTTGCAAAATTACAAGAATTTGGGATGTAGAATGTAATTGAAAATACATTTTCCTCATTCACACCTGGACTTCTTCCCAAGGAACTCGGGCGACGTAAGTGATGAACAAGCGGAGAGATTCCACCAAGATATTCGAACTATGGAAGAACGCTACCAGGGGAGGTGAGACCCAGCTCTGATGGGAGACTATTGCTGGTTTTTGCAGAAGGAAGACACTACACTGCACAAAAGAAGGAAAAACAATAAAATTTCACTTAAATATTTTAAAAATAATTTATTATTTGTTTTCAACTATATTTTTATTGTCTCACTACTCAACCCAGATGAATAGATTAAGGATTAAACTTTGTAAATAAACCAATAAAAGTGACATTAGTAGTAGGCTAAACTTTGTACTGTATACGGAAACTAGAAAAAGTAAAATTTATCGTATCAAAAAAATCTTACTTGTTAGGTCTTTTTCAAGGTCATATTTGAAATAAGCGCCCCAAAATTAGCAAGGCACACTGAAAATTGTCTATGTTACCGGAAAAAATTGTTGCCCCATGTTATTATTATTGTTGTTGGTGTGTTTACAAGTGAAAAGTTCTGTGTTGTGTACTGATGTTTCCATCATCTTTGAGACAAGGCAATGACTGATTTCATCAAGTAAAACGTTAATGACTACTTGCAGCAGGGTTATAATTGTCTCGGTCTCCTCCCGAATTCCTTTCTTTCGTTGTGGCTGGCTCTGCATGACTCTCATACATCAAATTCCCGCCATAAGTTTCTTCCCCTACCCATGCGAACAACAAAATTTTACCAAATGCCGACCTCCTAAGGTTAATTCCGGCTCTGCCTGGGGACCCTCATAGTCGTTAACTTCCCTCTTCCCCCCCAGTTAAATGAAGGGTCTGTCACTACTTCGTCTCCACGTTCTCTTTCGTCTGGGTTTCAAAGGGTTTTTGGTAAAGGATGGCGGCGAAATTCTGTGGTGTGCAGACACTACAGAATCTAGTTCTAGCTGCAGTGTTTCACTTAGTCGAGATTTCGAAGGAACTCATGAGCCCGTTCTTATTCTCGCTGCCGCAGGTGTCACTCTTGCGCCGGCCTTGAATCTCACGCTCGCCGCTTCGTTTCGCGCCACTTCGCTCATTTGTCTCAGCAGAGCGAGGAACTGCTGGAAATGTCAGTAGAGGAGCTGCAGGCGATTATCGGGGCGGATAATCTGAACGTCAAGGACGAGAAACTTGTGTGGGACTGCATACTCCGGTGGATCGACCACGACACAGAAAACAGAAAAGGACACATCGCAGAGCTCATGAAGAACGTCAGGCTGGGACTACTCGACAAAGCTTTCTTTCTCGAAAAAGTCAGTGGAACCCAATAAACACAAATGATTACATGCAGGGAAAGCACACAAGTCCAAATCCACTTTCAGACGCGTTCGTAATTAATAACTGCGTTTGCTGGCTTCATCATCTGTCAATCCGCCCGTCCTTCTGCATGTAACAATTCGAGAACATCTGAACAGAATGTCTATTCTTTGTTTCCTATGAATTTTAATAGAATGGTTGACATTTGAATTTTTGTTAGAATCTTACAACTATAACTGGAAATTTGCATAAGGATCTAATTGCTTTCATGCTCGGTTACCTTGGTTTCTTAGTTATCGGTTAAATACCGTCGCTTCTTTTACAAACAATAGGCCCATATAATTGCTTACCTACTCATTTATGCATATGTATAATATATATGCACACGTGTTAATGTGTGTATGTGCATGTATTGTTCAAAAAGACTAATTATTCATCGTTTTACCTTTTATTCACAGTAGAAATATTTTTTCATAACTTTCGTCACACACTACATAGTTTTGACGATGAATCAAAGTTATCAACTCAAGACGATCGAAGTAAGCAGTTCGCATGGGGTCTCTCCCATAAATAAATAAATAAATATAATTTTTTTGAATGCAACTCAAAATACAGATCTTACTAAAGTCTGTTTGTATTTTGCAATTGAAATGTTTTTCAATTGAATTCCGTAAGATCGATTTTAACATTGTTTTCCCTACTCTCTGTAACCTGTACACTAGTGAGAGCGACATTACCTAAAACAAGAAATTTCTTCTTCTGTGTAAGCCATAATCGTTTTCGGTGGGTTTTCGCAACCAAAACCGTGTTCGTCATTAATGAAATCTCTAAAGATTCACACTCTCTTTTCTTAAACGTTTATAAGGTTTACATTGCGCTGTTAAACAGATAAGACATCATCCATATGTGAGGGAAAATGAGTCATGCAGACCCGTTATCTACGAGATGCTGCACGACTCAGATACGATCTTGGCCAACGACGGGGAATTTCTGACTCCAAGGTTTGCCATCCCGCGAATCCCTCATGACATTCTCTTTGTTATTGGAGGGTGGGATTCCACTGGAGAAAATATCGTCAATTGTATTGAAACATACAGCACGCGGGCAGACCGATGGCTTAAGGTGAGTTTCACACAACTGATCCTTGTTAAATAATGTCTGAATGAAAAGAAATTTTCCTCTTTGCTTATTTCTGCCACTTAATTCGTTTTATTATTTCATCACAAGTATTTTTTTGCGTTAATTTATTTATTTCCGTTGCAGTGAAACGTTTCTCTAAATGGGTTACAGGCACGAGAATTAAACTGAATAAATAAATAAAATAAACATTTCTCGTATGTGAAGCACGTGTTCAATTTGGAGTCTAATTTTTTTCTCCAAATACAACATTTACTATAATCGTCCTACATGAAACGTTATAACAACTTGTCTGGTGAGTTTGGACCTTAAACGAAATTATTGTTGTCCTTCATTGTTATTTTCAATTTTAAAAAATTACGTAAGTACTGAGGAGCGAGAATGCTGGTTATTTGGGTAGTACCGCCGTGTGAATTGGTACGTAATTTCATTGTTTCCGAGGAACGTACTGCCTCCAGCTTCGCGTTGTTAAAGCCCCCGTCACCAACCGCTGTCTTCACCACCGTGAAAGCCTCATGTATCAAATGTATACGCTATCAGCTACTCACAGACTTCAAGAAAACATCAGCCACAATTTCACCGTTGCTTTGCATTAATTTCTCACAACTTTTCTGGCGTCCGTAGGCCGGGCCAGCCAGCACGGTGTAACAATATTCGTCCACTGTAGGGGGCTTTACCTCTGCTCCCTTGGTTGTCCAGAATCTTAGGTAAAAACTTAACCAAGAGTGGACCTTACGAACAAAAGAATTATATGCTCGTATTATGTCGTTGTTGTAGATGCAGGAAAACGACCCGACCGGACCGCGAGGCAAAGGAAAACGACCCGACCGGACCGCGAGTCGCCCATGGCACGGCGGTAGTCGGATTTAACATTTACGTCATCGGTGGTTTTGATGGCAGCGACAACTTGTGTTCAGTCCGAGTTACGAAGACATGGCACGAGGTGGGGCCGATGAATGACCGGAGGTAAGACACAACTCAGAGACTAACGAATTCCGTCCTCCTTGAAAAGCTGATAGTTGTTCTGCTAGTCAAGAATTATGTGTGTGCAATGGCTATAACCTGTACCGCTCACAAACAGGAGCATTCAGTACAGTGCAATTAAGTACACTTGCACCAATGTTGGTCTTCGTAAAAACCCGAATAGAAGCCAGTTACTAATTTCGTTCTTAGTTTCTCCAGGTTTTAGATAAATAAGATTTTCTTGCTAACTCATTTGAATTACTTTAACATTTACGTCATCGGTGGTTATGACGGCGTGCAATTCTTGAGCTCAGTCCGCCGTTTCAACGCAGTTACGAAGACGTGGCACGAGGTGGCGCCGATGAATGACCGGAGAAGCCTGGTCAGTGTGGCAGTGCTCGGGGGTCAGGTGTACGTTGCTGGTGGCTACACTGACAAGGGTCGACTTAAAACGGCCGAGCGATACGACTACAGGACGAACCAGTGGTCGATGATCGCTTCTATGAACACGAATCGATCCGACGCAAGTGCGACCGCACTCAAAGGTAACGCGAATCTCGTGAAACAGAATGCGAGGCTATCAGAACTGAGAGGTAGAGTCCAGTTACACCTGCGGGTGATAGAGCGCAGTAAGACCCAATAACGGACCAAGAGGAACTATTTTATAGAATTAGATCGAAGTCTTGAACGTATTTTCTGCAATGAACAACGTTTCAAATATAATTCTGATCGGAAGTGAGAAGTTGGCGACAGAACGGAGCACAGAACAATTGACTGTCGTACACACTTTATGTTGTTTATGTTGCATTTTTATCCTTCTCTTTTCACCCAATAAAATCATTTCCTTTGACAGGCTAATTACTTTAATTACATTGTTATGTTTAGAGTACACAGCATAGAATAAAAGAAACAAATGAACACCGGAAGCGATTTACTTACAGTTGCTAAGACATTAAATGCAGAATCTTTGCGCAATCACAACTACAAATTGTCCCACATTTGCACTACGTACGGATCGGTACATTTACTCAGCCCATCTCAAATATATGATACCATTTGTGTCATATAGCTGGTCTCTCTTTACAGATAAAATCTACGTCGTTGGTGGAAACAGCGGCCAACAATATTTGGCCTCAGCAGAGGTGTACGACCCACAGACGAACCTGTGGACTAACATTTCCCCGATGTCTGCAACTCGCAGCGGCCTGTCTTGCGTCGCCTACCACGGCAGAGTGTACGCCGTAGGTAAGAATTTGCAACTTTGTCGAGTAATACTCGTTTCTCTTTCTTTTACGCAATTTGCTGTTTTGTAATATTTGCCTAGTTTACTTACAAGACTAGCGACTTTGTGAGCAGTATTTTTCTTCTGTTTTTACGGAATTAGTTTGTCAAAATTTTTAACCTCTTATGTGATTTATATATCGCGGTTTCGGTTAGTGTCTCCACAAGCTCACTAACAACAAAAACAACACACAATCCTTTCTTGTATTTCTATTATAGTGTACTTTACTGTACCGCCAAGGTGGTCTAGCGGTTAGAATGCTGGCCTTGTAATCCTGGGGTCTCAGGTTCGATTCCCGGCGGTTCCCGAATTTATAACTTGTGTTGGGCAAGGCCGAGGTCTAGGCAACACGGAGTTTTCCTCCGGGGGCTTCCCCGGTTTCTCCGTGACATCCCAACAATTACTCCATTCACACACAGAAGAAGGCAATGGCAAGCCACTTCTAGATCATCTGCCAAGAACGTATATGAACAGGTCCCAGTCCGAGAAGAGAAAAGGATGGAAGGATCCTGTTCATATGGACCTGTCGTCAGACAGAACACTAAATAATAATAATAGTGCCTCAGTAGTCACGTATTTTGTTAAGTGTGGGAGAGAAATTTCAATTATCCCGTGCGCTGTGGCAACACTGGCCCCGCCTCACCACAAAGCCCGTGATTTTAAGCCGTTTCTTAGAATTCCTTGCTCCTTAATTGAAACTTTATATAACAAATTACGTTTTCAACAGGACGGTCTTGTTGTAATGGCGTGCTGCATAAATGAACTACAGAACTGTGATTTGCGTGTTTCATAAATTCCATTGTTCACTAATCGAGCTATAAGGAAGATAAAGTGTGCTCCATCATAGACATTTTATTCTTAATTTTGTTGCCGTTATAAACATGAACATTGCAAAAACGAGTGAATTTATCTCGGTTTTCACTCATGTGGCTTTACACATTTTTGTTTCGTTGATTCATTCATTACTTTGACCGAATTTCATATTTT